CTGATAGTACACGCTTCAAGGATAGTCTTCAGGGTATCGTGTCGATTGATGAGGATGCGCCACGATTTAGAGGTCATTCTGAGGCTGGATATCCGGTTGCGTATGCGTCAAGCTCGTCTTCCATATCAAGTCAGTCGTCGACTGATGAAGACTCAGCGGATGATAGTCCCAGCGGACAAATCAACCAAGGTTATGAGGAAGCAAAAGGGATCCAGAAATTAGCCCATATCACACCATCGGTGGTGCGCGACCATTTTGCTCGCAAGCCCGCAAAGAGAAAGGACATGTGGTTATTTGTGAGACGATTTTTTTCTATCATCAGGGCCCAGAGCGATCCGTGACTGACGGTGGCGCAGGTCGCAGACACTTCATTTCGTCTGTACATCGGTATCAAGGAAAAGGGAGCCTTCCAACATTCCTCATTTCTACGGGGTGCGCGCGTGGCCGCGGCAGGTTTGATCAAAATCTGGAACGGTCAGCTACGTAGTCTAACACCTTTGAGGTAAATTAATGTTCTTCTCTTCGCTCTCGACAGATGAGACAGAAATAAATACTTACGTTTCAGTGGCCATTACCGTCCGCCGTCGGCAAATTTTCGCGCCTTCGTTCACGCCTTGCAGGATCAAGGTGTGGATATGTCCCATGTTTCTATCACAAAATCGTACGCCATCCTTGCAGGCATGGAGGGATACGTTCGGACGAAGCACAAATTGCGAGCCCTGCATGAGACGCTGGATGAATCAAAAGAGAAACTTCTTCATGGGCGACAGAACGATAGACACGTTGAGACCGACGCACAGGTGTCGGACGAAAATGCCATCCATAAAGACCAGGCCGAATGTTCATCCGCAGCGGTTAATGAAGAAAGCTTGAGTGTAAACGATAAGGAGGGGGACGGTTGGGCTTTGCCTGCAAGGGTGAAGATCCACCAGGCGTTCGCTTCGCCGGATCCGATCACCCCCGGTGATGAACCTGCTACGATGCCAGATCATGATCAATGATACCCAGATTGCGTAAATATTTGATGTTAGAACTGCCGTGGAGATTGACTCCCTCTGGCCTGCCAAATAGTCATTGGTCGTGGACAATTGATGAGGATGCATAATTCTAACTATTTCCTTCCAATAGGCCATTTTCGATGCTGTATAGTCCATTCACAAATGGGCCCTCTGAAAGGTCAGGCAGTTGATGTTATGTGACACACCTGCAGCTCTGGACACGAACCTCAACGAAGCAAGCGATAACGGCAAAGACCAACTCGACCATTTTACTGAAATAAGCGCGAAGCAATGGAACGCGAGGCCCAGATCATGACGTCGACCTCGATCAGTCCATAGAAAGATGATCCATGCTGCGGATCAGGTTTTCTAGTCCTTCGGCCTTGAATTCGGATCCTGCGGTGGACTCGCTAGTCCGAACTGGAACATTTTGCACGACATAGTCTGCAGACAGAGAGGAAATATCTGTGGCAGACCAAAGAGTGGTATCTAGTTGTCTAAAAATCACGGTCACCTTCGTGGGTATGAGCGACTCATCGAGTTTGCTCGCCTTGAGTACAAGCTCAATCGTCCGGAGAAACGCTGTGCACAGCCTGCCCCAACCAAGACTCATATGCCAGAGACCCACCACACAGCTCTCCAAGATAAGACTCCATTTCGGCTCCTGAGATTCTAGCTGCGAGATTGCATGGACCCCGGCCAGGCAGAAATAGTGAAGGAACACAATAGGAATTGACTTCCACCCGTGATGTTGTTTGTACCGCAGGATGAGAGACCCCACAGCGTCCAAGGCTCGAGACTTCACAGTCCAGGGATCGAACCATGCCAGATTTGATTCGTCATTGCGTGTCGTCTTCGAATATAGAATAAACATATCGCCTAGAAATACAAGGGTGGCTTGAAAGTACAGGCTAGTAGCGGCTATTAGTACCACTTCTTAGAGATTAGAAATGTCGCTGAGGAACTCACTGCAAACACAGGATATGTGGGGTTGTGTTGCATTGGGGCATCACACATGACGGCAGGCTGCTCATCCAATCGCATAACTTTTGATGTAGCTGACGGGCGTACTGCCAATCGTCGCTTGAAATGCCGGTTTTTGAGAATTTAATGCCCGCTATAGCAATCTCATGGACAATCATCACGAGGGCGCTACGGTAGCAGGCGGCAGTGTAGTAAAAAGGCTGTTGAACGGGAAATCTAAAGGGGTAGGGGCTCCACTCGGCGCCTTCATCCAGTACTGCCGCCTTGTCTAGGGAGAAGTGTACAGCTGGCGGCTGCTCCCACACTGGCATCTTCCTATAAACCTGTGCAGCTAGCCTACAGGCATATTAGTCAGAGCTAGAGAGGCATTGAACGAGGTCGGGAATGTCTCACGCTTGCACGTCGAATACGGCCCAAGCGACCAGTTTATGGCATCTGGATATTGGGCCCAGCTCATCCCGGTCCACATTGCTGTAGAGATACGCCGGTGACTTGCAGTGTAGGTCTAGTTTGTGGCATACTTCTGCGCCGTGAAGAATATATTTCGTTCCCAGTCTATCGATGCCCAGAGTACAACAAAGGAGGCCAATCAAGATACTGGATTGCGCAACTGGAAGGTTCAGCTGGCCCTTCTCGATTTGCCAGAGGTGCTGGATCTCAGCGTGCAGCTTTTTGCCAAGTGACTTTTCCTCTTGTCGATCGGTTATCCGGTCCAAACTGTAGGAGTAGCTCTGCATCAGAGTCAGCCAACGGATACGACGATGGAGCGATTGACATTACGCAGCCAAAAAAGAGAAGGGCATGGACCAACAGCGGAGAGCAGAATCTCTTGGAGCCACTCGCTAGGTCCCTGAGAAACAAATCCCGATCAACAAGTTGCCATGTCGGATTTTCCCACGCGAAATACAGCGAAAGAAGATGACTTGCGACCTCATCGTCCACAAGAGAAGTCCAGGCTCGAATGCCCTTGATCCGGATTTGTGGTTCTTGGCATAAGTGCGGCGTTCTATTGCCATTCTTCCTCGCCCATGCCATATGCATGCGATGCAAAGACAGTCCGGGGTTTGGCGGAGAAGGCTGTTGCTCAAACAGCGACTGCGCGCTCAGGAACGAAGAGAATATTTCTGGTGAAGCTAGGAAATGTTTCTGCCAGGAGTTTAGCACGGCTAGACACGGGACAATGGGAAAGTACGCGATATGGGCAAGTAGAGACTAACATGGAATATCTCCTCGATGGAGGTGCGACCTTCATTCCGGCATTCCTCGTAGATGCGTCGCAGGACTGATTCGTAAATTTTGATCTTCCCTCGGGCACATTCAACCGCAAGCTGCTGTCTTTCGCGTTTGGAACCAGAATAAGTACAGGCAATTTTCAGTACCCGACACTGTTTGCAAATCGGCTTTGAGCCGTCACACTTGGTTTTGCGCTCACGACATAGTTCACAGGCGCGCGGTGTGCGCTGGCGGCTGATTGGGGTAGAGCCCAAGCGCGGAATGGGATGCTTAGGCGCAGGCGAAATCGTTACAGGCCTGCTGCGTCCTATGACAGAGAGTTGTTGCCCGCTGGAGCTCGAGGGACTTGGGAGCTGACCGACTGGCTCTTGCGAACTACTGTTCGTGTCTGTTGGATCCATAGTTGCAAGATACTTGAGCAGAACATGTTTGGCCACGATATTTTAACCAGCGGTTTCCAGAGCGATTGGGATTGCGATTCAGTCAACCATGGCGGCTACATATTAGACAGTACTTAGGCGATAATTCAAATCAGATCGACATTGTCTTTGATACTATTCCATATGGTCGTCGTCCCGTTGAGTATTGCGACGACGATAGTTGAATCAGTATGGGTAGGTGCATTGAACTTCAAGATGGACACAGCATCACAGTCAGAAATAATTGAATTGAGAAATGCCTAGTCTGGCCAGATTTCTTGCATCATCACTCTTTTTCCAGTGCAAATTATTGGACCGGAATTAGCGGAATTGACCCATCGGCCCTGTGGAGGTTGGTGCGGTCCACTCTTCCATGACTCGGGCGAGAATTAGAAGAGAGAATAGAATTGTGGTGTACCTTACTAATGAAGTCGCACGTGATTCCAAAATAGGCCCAGTTCGATCCTCACATAACTCGGTATCTTGATTCATTTATTTTGAGTTTCCTGTCAACCACTGTAGTGCCAACTGTCGTGATCGTCCACTTCCTTTAATATGTCAATAAGAGAGCTCTTGCAGGAGACTTCTGGCTCCTACTTGGGAAAAGGAAGCCTAGGATTCTTGGAGCACAGCTCCTCCTGATATGCAAATGGTTCTGCCGGGGCGTCAGGTTAAAACCCAAGGCCTTTTCGTCCAGCATACAATTAGATATATAAGCTCTTGACAAAAAGACCATGTGTATGATGGGGGGTTATCTAGAGATCGAGAAACTGGGTTCCAGTCAGGCGTGGTATCTCTTTCTGGCCCCAGATTTCTGTCAGTGATCACTGATTTGCAGGTTCTGAACCAAGAATCTGTCCACCATGCCTCTCAATGCATTTGGACCTTATGTTTACTGCTAGTTTCCAAGCTGGGATGGCACACAAAGCACACTGATGCAGACCCCACAGATATTTGTCTGCTCTACTAGATATAATGGACTAACACTTCGCAAGCGCTCCTATTTGTTTGCTTTTGATACCTTCTCTTCACTTGATTTCAAGCTCTGATCTTTGCCAACATGTTCTCTTCACTCGATTGAAGCTCTTGATCTTCGACAACTTCTTAGCTCATTCGATTTCAAGCTTTTGTTCTGCGACAACATCTTCTCTTCACTCAATTTCAACTGTCAACCCACCTCCATAACACCATCTATCCACTAAATTTGATAGACGTCACCTGTCAGTTGACTTCAGGTTGCTGTTTGCTTTGGTGAGTTCGATAGAGAAGCCCGAGATCAGTGGCTCATAAATGTCCCCTCAGCAACAATGAGTGATAGCGTGACATTAGAAAGAGCATCAAAGGCTTACAATTGCAATCAGATATGATGGCTGTCCCGCTCAGTACCGCGCAGGTGCCACATGAAGACATTGAAGTTTCAGACGCAGGTGACTTCACTATCCGCATTAACGAGTTCGACCCAGCGATCAGGCAAGACGAACGCTCCGGTGACGATGCAGGGGCCAAAGGCCTTGTGCGAACGGCGTCCCTCAAGGTCCAGAGGGGCATTCTCGTGAGACGCAGTCAGTATTTCAAAATTATGTTTGACGGTCGCTGGACACACGGGCCCAAAGAGGACAGTGTCATCCTGAATGGAGACACTGTTCGAAGTATGGAGCTCTGGCTCCGTGTGTTGCACTCCACAACCGACGCTTTGCCCAAGCAATCTCTCTCTGTTGAAGAAGTTTGGCACGCTATCATGGCTGGGGACAAGTACGGCTTCGATCTCCGAGAACTACAAAGCTGGTTCGTCGCTTGGTATAAGGAGATGAGGACTGAGAGTGGGAAGAAGAAGTTCGAGGAATTTGCGCCACAATTGCTCTTTCCTTGCTACGCCCTCAATTACGCTGGGGGTTTCCAGGAGTTGACTAGATTCTTGACTTATAACGAGCCGCGGCATATCATGGAATCCAACCCCGCGCATCATCCGCAGATGCACCTGCGCCCTCGAATTATCCGTAAGTCTCTAGCAGTCTTTGCCATGTGGTTCATCCTGCACAGTCCAGTCAGATCAAGCTCAAAGTCATCCTGCTAATCAAAGTATCCTCGCAGAACAATTGAATGCCGCGAAAGGTCGCCTGCGCACGATTCTACACCAGGCTTTGTTCAAGCGTGTCAACGAGATTATCGACAGCGCAACATGCGCCTGCAAAGAACAAACCGTGTTTGATTTTCTTAAGACACTTCGACGCATTCACGTCTCGCCGCTGGACCTGGACAGCACTAAAGCAAGTGCTGCGGAAATGCTTGACCGATTGCGACAATATGATGGGACAAACACTCGCTCTCAAGGTCCCTCTTTAAATGATACTTCGCTTGATCATTCACGTCAAAGACCGTGTTCTGTGTGCTGGCTTGACGGGCACACCATCGTTCGCCAGGCGGTCAGGCGGGTTTCCAGCTATTTTGATGGTCTATGCCTCGACTGCATGGATCGTACAAAGGATCTTCGGGTGAAGGGAAATACAGACCAAGACTATTGGTTTCATAACGAATGGAAGGAATCCTATGACAGCAACTGCCGCATCTCGCACGGCGAGCCCACCTGGTATTTCAGTTTCATGGGACGTAAGGAGAAGCGCGGCCTCATCGCCGAGTAGACGTCAGCAAACATACAGTCCATATCCCGGATCCGCGCAGCACGCATATTACTGAGGCTGGATTACAAGGGGGAGTTTAAGGGGCCTTCGCAGCCGGAATTGATAGGGATCTGGTCAATCTAGTTTCGCTTCATGTCTCGAGGGAATAAAGGTGCTTGCTTGCATGATATCATTGCCAAGATGCTTTAGAATTATCACGTTGGGCGTTGTTCCGAAGTGGGACAGACTGCATTTCTTCTTTTCCTGTGTTAACTCTCTGACGAGTATCTGGAGCAAGGTGTCTACAGGCAAGAGGATTTCTTCACTTGCATTAAGTAATACGATACTATCATAATGCACAGCTTAATATGACACTTGAAAATAACATAACACACTGTTAGTAGCAATTAAGCTCGCGGGGTCAACGGTTAAGAATGTCCTAGGATACTTAGATACTTATGTAGAATCAGATGGCATTCGCTACCACTAATAGTCCAAGACTCCTGATTCCAGTCCGACGTCTTTAGCGTGTGATTCGCTTCTGCATTCTGAGACTAGTCAACAATCTCATTTGTTTGTTTCTCCTTATTCCTACCCGCTTTGCATGGTTAGTCTACCTCATGCATTTCGACTTACCAGGCCTCAAATAAGAAGGTCAGAGATGATTGAAGCAGCTGGTGAAATGCACTTGCAAAACGACCCCATTCACACGTGAGTTTGGCGATCGAGCCTCGTGTCGACAGCGTCTACATAGTATGCAGTGGTACCACGCTAAGAGTCCCTTGCTTCCCAGTCTCACCGATGATCGGCATATCGAGGGTTACACAATGGAGGGGACAGGCCATTCTTAAATATGCAGTTGCTCCCTTGCTAAATTGAAATCCACCGCATAGGTACCTTTCTCTATGCACGACATCGAAGATGTTCCTTCTCACCATCGTCGCTGCCAGCACTTTATTGGTGCTGTTTCTCTATAAATTCCTAATTGCGCCATATTTCCTGTCACCCCTTTCAAAGATCCCCAATGCACATTTCACAGCACCTATCTCGGACTATTGGATTGAAAGGAAGCGTCGGTCTGGGCAGGAGGTACTGACCATCTACGACCTTCATCGCAAGTATGGGCCTGTCGTGCGCCTGGGACCCAATGAGTTGAGCGTCAATTCACTCCGGGGGCTTCAAGCTATCTATACTGGTGCATTCGAGAAACATTCCTTCTACCGCGATGCGTTTGTCAATTTTCTTACGGATAACCTTGTGGGCATGTTACCCAATGATTCTCATGCGCGACAGAAGCGTATGCTGAGCAAGATCTACTCTAAGTCATATCTGCAGAAGTCGATGGATCTGCGCAATATTTCGTCTATTATTCTTTCACAGAGGCTTCTCCCTATTTTGCAAAAAGTTGCAGAGAAAGGAGAGGCGATCAACGTCTTACCGCTGTTCCAGGCTGTGGGGATGGATTTTACGTCTGCCTTTTTGTTTGGCACGGCCAATAGCACGACTTTTCTTGTCGACCTCCCAGGATGGGAAAAGTGGCTGGTGGAGTACGAAAGATTTAAGTACTTGAGCTTGAAAGAGCGGTATATGGGCTTCATCGAAAGCTGGTGTCTGTCTCTCTGTCACAGAACGCAATGCAATGAGTATCCTGACAACGTGTCGGTTGCCACAAACGCGGTCGTGTATAGTCAGCTCCGTCAAAGTCTGGAGAAGCATCCAGATCAACGGCCGCTAGATCTGGCACTTGCATCAGAGCTTCTCGACCATCTCGTTGCTGGGCACGAGACCTCAGGAATCACCTTTGTGTATATGATGTGGGAGCTCTCGAAGCGGCCTCGGCTGCAAGCTGAACTTCGTCAAGAACTGCTCACATTAACGCCATCTTTGAGATATCCATTTGTGGAGTTGAGTAATGAGGGCCTCCCAGTTCTACCATCCCCAACCGCTATAGACTCTCTCACTTTGCTGGATGCCATTGTCAGAGAAACACTCCGAGTGCACTCGCCGGCGCCTGCTCCGTTACCGAGAGTCACCCCCTTCTCACCAGAAGGTATAGCAATTGAAGGTTACGATCGCATCCCCGGTGGAGTCAAAGTTAGCTCGTCCGCATATACTCTGCATCGAATCAGCGAGGTCTACCCTCAGCCTTTGGAGTGGTTACCAGAGCGCTGGCTAGAACCAGGACCTGGCAAAATTCACGATATGCGGAGACTCTTTTGGCCCTTTGGAAGTGGTGGGAGGATGTGTCTGGGTAGTAATTTTGCTTTGCAAGGTACGGCACCCTTCCGCTCTCTTCCTTTCCTCGCAGAAGCATAGTCGTGAATGCGAGCTGACTGAATCTGCTGGCGGTTGAAGAGATCAAACTTGTCATGGCTGCAGTTTACACCAACTATACCACGTCTATCGTCGATGATGAAGGCATTGAACAGGATTATGCTTTCATTTCATTACCCAAGGGCCGGAAATTGATGTTGGAATTCACGCCTGCGAAGCAGTGAATATTCGGTTTTCATACATCACTCTCTCTCTCTGTGTGTGCTTATTCTTTGAGAACCGGGATCATTGCATAGTGAGTGTTGCTTCAAGCTAGATGATCAGTGTATGCTCAACGCGGTGAGCAATAAACTTCTATACCAGTGGCCAAACGGACAACTTCAATGGTTGAACCAGCCCAAGATTCCAAGTTCTAGCCATGTGCCTACTTTGCTCAATTGTGCCCAATAAACGAAAACAATGAACCCCGTTGCGGGTTCCATGGCTTTTGAACCGGCACAGCCGGCCGTGCTCCGAACCTACGTTGAGAAGTTTTTTCGACATTCTGAGACTGCACCAAAATAAAGTCTTTTTTTGCCGCTTCCAATCCAGACCTCAGATACAAACGGCCATGCGCGAGCTGCTGAACCTGGATAATATGTTGTAGTCAGGATATATTACTGAACAAGCAATGTGGCAATGAAAATTGCATCTGACTGGTTTTCTCTTGGTATATACAAAAGCATATCTACATATCAAGATTTTAATCTAGATACAAATCACCATGCGGATATCCAATCTATAATTCTGATCTTTTCTCTCAAGTTGCTACCATGACGCCTGCATCATGCAATGTCTTTCTCCATTGAGATCCCTTGATAGCCTAAGCGCGAACGTTCTCCGGTATGTCCCTGGGGCGGTACTCCGTAAAATTTTCTGGCCAGAGGAACATCTTCTCTTCCTTCGAAGGAGTGGCGGCGATGAATTGAGGAACCTGCTCGAGACAGTCAGTTGACGGCAGCAAGTAGAAAGTGTTGGAGACTTTAGACGTACGGATTGCTTGCTGGAAACCCTTCTCCACATGTTGGCACGTGGGTTGAACCGAGCTGGAGTTCCCTCGCCTTTGGTCTTTTCCTGGTCTTCTTTCATGATCGACTCCATCTCCCGCTTGATGTCCGCAAAAGTCTCAAAAGGAATGTACGAAATGTTGTTTTCCTTGCAATATTCCTCGAGGCGAAGGCCCTTGCGCGCGAAGAGAACATCGGCTTCACGGGCAGCAGCAAGATCAGACACACCATCGCCAATGAAAACGATCAGTGGAATTTGGCCATCAATGCAATACTTGGCGGCCTCAGCGCGACCTTCCTGGACCGAAAGGGCCTTGTCATGACCAAGCTCGGTGTCATGTCGCCAGATCGGTTTCCATTCCGAGCCGTCCGATCTGATATCGGCGTCATTTGCAACGATCTGGATTGACGACTTTACCGATCGATCAGCGACTTCATTCAATCACGGATAGTAGGTATGACCTACAGCCTGTTCTCCCAAAAAGGTGTCCAGCACTCTGCGCAAGATGGGTCTTAGTCCTGCACTGATCACATTGAAATCGATGCCGTTCGCAATGCAGAATTTGTGAAATTCCTGAAATCCAGGGTCGATTTCGAGTTCCTTCTCCATAACCACGAACCCATCTTCAAAGGGAACTCGCAGAGATCCCCACATCTCCTCGGACACATCACGGAATGACCGCTCGCCGGTTTTGATTTGTTCATCCAGTATTTGCCGGCGCTTCGTACCGCATCCCAGATTATCGAAGAGAATGTGGCCAGTGTCTTGCATAAATATGGTACCATCAAAGTCTGGGAATAGCATAGAATTAGCAACCAATCAGCGCTACTGCTACCGTTGTCATAGTAGAAAATCACAGGTATAAGATCGACAGGGACCAAAGCTTGTGCTCAAATTGCTGGAGCTTGCGTACCTGAAAAACAGACAATTTTTCTTGTTGTGTTCGGCATGTTTCTTGTTTAGTCTAGTATGCAACTGGGAACAGAGTCTTGGGATTGGTGGATTGAAGTCACAACGAATTGGTCACAGATATCTGGGGACATCATCTTGGTCAAATATGTTTTCGAAGTGGCGACGTACAGTTCCTAGAACGGGATAACAGGATATCGATCACGCAAAAGAAAATGACGTTGCCAGCTCTCAAACATTTTAGCGGTTGGCTTGCAGATTACTGAAAGAGTGGAAATTCAATAGACTGGGTCTGGATCATGCTGCTCAACCTCTCAAAAGTCAAAGAGTCGATTCTCATACTCCGCCAGATGGTGCCTGGTGGAGACAATTTGCAGGCGGAGTTTTTCTATTCCTTGCTGATTGGCCCTATGTTTGAAATCGCTTATCGAGACCCGCGCACGTGTTCCACGCATCATTCTTTATCAGGTTAGATTCGGTTGTTTGACCACATTGTTGAGCCGAAACAGGAAAGGTTCAGGGCAGTATTAAAGCAATTGTGGCGGAATTGACGTCATTGGAACTTGTCTTGCCGAGGGACCGATTTCTGGATTGCCAAATCAGATTTCTGCTTTTAATCTTCTGTTGAGAAAAAGAGCCTTCAGCTTCTAATCGCAGATCTGTGCCGTCATCAATCCAATGTCGTCAAGAGGGGGGTCAGTGGAGACTAACAATAGAAGTGATGTTTCTGACCCCATAACTGGTGCCAGCAGCGAAGTGATATGACTGAAATCACACCCACAACAGGAAAT